AAAAAACGTGTTTGAAAATTCGAGTTTTGTTCGTTTTATCCGGATAATTTAAATCAGCACTGTAGATTCATGAGCAGTGAAGAAACTAAACTGCGATCTTCACGCTGAATCAATTTTTCTAAAGGCACCAGTTGAGTTTTATTGATTGAAGTTCATTTTAAAAAACAAGGGCGATAGCCACGCACAAGAGTACGCCATCTCTATCAGGAACGGATGTTTGCGTTAAATTGTGACACACGGTCTGGGAAAGGAGAAATTTCAATCAAGTATTGAGAAGAATACAGGATTCAACGAGTTGATACTTTTGAGCGACTCTCTTGAAAATGGAACTGTTATTCCTGATGGAAGTATAATCAAGTCATGGACTGTCGATCAGAGGGTGGGTACCACTCATGCACCAATTGTGGCGGTTGAGGTCGAGCGCAACTTCAGCGCATACACACATGTTCACACAGATATCAGAGAAGCAATGACGGAGAAAACTGTACGCCAACTTATGTTCTGCTACTGTAACAAAACGTTGTAAATTTAACGTTTTTCTGCAAGTTTTTACCAACTTTTTGAGCAACTTTTCCAGTCAATTTTGAGCAACTTCTTACTAACTTTTTTGCCTTTTTGAAAGCAACTATTATCCGCTCCCTGATTATAATCGCACAAAAATTGATTATTGGCAACAAAAACTGATATAATTTAAGTAAAGCGCCTCGCGCAGTTATTGTTCATTATTTTGCTCACGCCACGATTCTACACAAGACGTTAATGCTCGAATCACTCTCTTGAGTTAAAATACTGGTAAAAACAGTAACAAGACTGCTCGTATCAGGGCGATGCCCTGAATGTTTTGACTGCACTTTAACGCCTATGCAGTGGTGTTAGGTTTGAAAAAAAATTAAACAAATTTTTTGACTTTTGTGGGTTTTTTAAACTTTTCTTTTTACCCGCAATCTAAAGTATAAACTGATATAATTTGCAACCTGCAAAAGTTTACATAGACTAAGTAGCAAGCCTTAGTTTAATTTCTAAAACGAGTGTAAACGAGGATATACATTGCGAGTTACTTATTTTAAGCTAGCCAAATTGGCAATCATTAACCAAAAAAAGCAACTCTGCCAAAAATGATCACAGGTGAAATATCTTTTTAAGTTTGAGCTCAAGACAACAATAGCTTTCATATAATATAAAAAATCCCGTCAAAAAGACTATAGTTAAAAAGTTGAAACTGATCTGAAGAAAAAAAACAGCCCGAGCTAAATAGTTCGTCATTTTCTTCGAAGGTCGGAACAAAAAACCGGGTAAAAACGTACCGCGACAACAAAAAACTTTTAGCAATAATTGAACAAAAACATCAACAGAAAATTAATTAAAATCGTAAGAGTTTTGCTCTAAGGTCATCGTCGATAACCGGCTCTATTTTTTGAGCAAAGTCCTATCCTCTGTAGGCAAATTCGCAACCCGTTGGTGCGACAACTGTGGTGAGTATATAGCCAGATGTCTTTGAAATCGAGTTGTATTTTCTTGCGAGTCGCTTTTGTTGGGAGTTGTCGCAATGCGATTAAACAAGGTGGCTGCGGTCTTCGCTTCTCGATAATTTTCTCGCTTAAACTACACGCGTGTATTGCAAATACCAATCGCCGGATAAAGAAAAATTACAGTTGCATGAGAACCAAGTTGGTATGGAAATAGAGTAAAAGCATAGTCAAGACAATATGCGATGGCCAGGAGCCTTAGGCAACTGATTCTAGGCCACAAAACTGCCAATCGGATCGGGAACGGGTCCTTTTTGGATCAACATAAACTTCTTTTCTAAAATAACAAGACTGCTCGTACGTCAGGGAAAGTTCTGAATGTTCCGACTGCTCCCTAATCCATAACAAGTAGTTTTTAGGAAAAAAAATCACAAAAAAACTATAAATTTTGGACAATATCAAAGATGAAGTCTGAGAATTTGAGTCATACTTAATTAATATGACCAATTAGCTAGCCTCCATTCATATTAGAATGATTTTCGGATCTCTCTAACTATTTACTCTGTTTGCAAAAGGGTTATATTTTTTACTAGATATAAAATTCTCAATCATTTCTGCGTTATATGCGTTACTAGGTACCCGATGGGGGATACACTGAAAGAGATCCTGATTTTTTTGCGGGAAAATTTGCCAGGCATAACTATGTCGCGTTACGCTTTCATAACTATAGATAGATACTACAAAGCTCGCATAAATGATTCCAAAGCATGACCAAAATGGCAATTTTCAAACTCCCAAAACTTTCCTCAAAACAATCATGAAGAAATATGTTTTTAAAGCTCAGTTAAGAAGTCAATATCTTCAATGGGGCATAGCAATTTTTTGTAAAAAATTATTGTTTTGATTGCCCAAAGACTGAGTGATTAAAAAAACCACATCAAGCATAAATATTCCGTTTTCTTCGAAATTCGGAAAAATATGTACGTAAGTAATGATATTTAATCTTCAAAAAACTGAGCTACTCAGACCTCAAAATGAATTTTTTGAGAGCTAAAATTCTTGCTTGTTGCCAGTTTAAATCTGGTAAAATTGAAAGCTGATTTTTTTATCGCGTTGGAAGCATTAAATATTAATTGCTCAAAAGCTTACGCTTATTCATCGCAAAATTTCCTAAGTTCAGACTTTTTAAATAGACAGATTGCTTTTCTTGCGAACCGACCCGTTTTGTTTTACTGATAAAAAAAAATCAAACAATTTCTTCTCATTCGCAAAGCTTATGCGTTGAGTATGAAACACCTACTCGTGCACACACCCACACATATGTTTGCACACACAACCCTGATTTATTATTAATAGATGACTTTTAAGGTTTTATGCACTAAACGGCCCAAAATCAGTATTTAGTAACATGTAATATTTAGTAATACTATACTAATATGGTTATTTTTGAAAAAATCAAGCGTTGCAAAACTTTGCTCTATGTAGAGTTGTTGATTCGTTTAAGAAATGTTCAATTTTAAAGAAATTTATGATGCTTCATCGTCAACAGATTGATTTTTGGCTTCATCGCCAACAGGTTAAATTTGATTCTTCCTCGACAGATATGTTTTTGCTTTCATCTTCATTAGGTAAAGTTTTGGCATAGGCACCATCAGGAAAAAATTCCATTCATCGGGCAAAATTTTGCTTTGTCTGGAATCCAAATTTTGTTTCGGATAGCTGATAAGATTCGTTTTCGGGGTTGTTCAGAGCGGCTGGTGGATGCCCACGAGAAAACCGACAATGTGCGAAAATTCTGCAATCTTACAACTTTCTTATAAGAAAAAGTCCCTATCTTGTAACATTCTTAGAACCTTATTTTCTAAGAAGTTGTAAGATTCCTATCAGAAATCTTCTATGATAGCAACTTTTGGTCAAATCGGTAAGCTAAACTTAAAATTAGCTTATGAAAAATCCATATTTTCTTCCCCTAAATCGATTTAGGGGAGAGATTCAAAAATCATTTAGGGGGGAGGGGAATTGTACGGCTAACCTTTTTTGTCTGGGTCAAAATATTCAACTGAAATTTTTTCGGCTAGACGAACTTTCCCAAGCGACTTGATTAGAATGCATTGGATTAGTTGACAAAGCTCCAGGTTTGGTAATTTCGGCTAGTTATTTTGGGTGCCGGACATCAAGCCGACGGGACTTCAAGCCGAATTGTAAAATTAGGGACTTCAAGCCGAAGAATTCCTTATAAAGTCGTGAAATATGAACAATTTGAAAACTTTTTTGAAGAATTTCTGAATTTCACGATCTTTCTTCATTAGTTATTGGCGTTTGCATATAATTTAAGCTTCCAAATGATGTTCCGGAAAGTTGAAAAGTAAAACATGGTTGAAGGCATTTTTCATGTTTATAATTTATGCATTTCAAAAACCGGCTGATGTTATTGACGGATGCGAATCACAAGTGGTGCATTGTCATGAATAACGCTTATTATGGACTAAACTTGCCAAAATTTTAGAAAAGCAACGTTTTGCAGATGACAAAATAGCGTTTTGTGGTGCTTGTAAAGTTTTAATTTCGGCTTGAAGTCCCTTCGGCTTGAAGTCCCGTCGGCTTGTTGTCCTAGACCCGTTATTTTATCTGGAAGTGTCGATGGAAATGCCTGACCGCGTTGCTGAGCTAAAATTAGCCAATCAGGTTCGACCGCATACATTTTAGCTCAAGAAATAGAAATAAAGATTTGGGTCGTTTAGTGCATAAGATTCGACTGCAACAACAGAACAGCGAACATAGAAAACAGTGATAAAAATACAGGCAAGTCGATTGCCATTGCCATAATTTTCAAATAAAAACAAACCCAGATTTGAAGCAGCCCACAGATACTTCAGATCCTGTAAACACAAAGCTAAGCCTGAAGAGTTTCGTTTTTTCAAATAGTTTAATAACAAGATTGCAAAATTAAGGTTAATTTTTATCAATTTTGTAAAGACAACATTAAAAATGGTTATTTTTTCAAGAAATTAAAATTCGAAGAGCCATAAATAAGTTTGAAACCTATGAAAAAATTTTATCGCCATCGTGTTTGTGCATGTGCTTAAGTTTTTTTAGCGCGAGGAGAGAGCATCCAAATGTCTTAAAATGAGCAGAGAAGACATACCATTGTGTTATATGTACCATGGGTGACATCTGATTTCTGCGATAAAGGCTGCAGAAAAATATTTCTGCCTGGATTCACTTCGATCTCCCACTCCAGGTGGCTGGGCGGATCCGGAACGTACAGTGCCAGCATCATCCGGTTGTAATCCGGATGCGAGGAGATGTAGATAGCGTAACGCCACACTAGAAC